GTTCAGGGAAGGAAAGGGTCATTTTACTATAAATATGTGAAAGAATTAAGATTATATAAAATCTAAAAGTTTATGTAGCTAAAAAACATTTTAAAGAGGCATGATGTCAAACTGAGAAAATTTCAAAAATGAGTGCACAAATCTACAATTACAGTGGTTGGGGTAGTTCACTTCCTACCTCTTTTGTTTTGTTTTGTTTTGTTTTGTTTTGTTTTGTTTTGTTTTGTTTTTCCAGACAGGGTTTCTCTGTGTATCTTTGGAACCTGTCCTGGAACTAGCTCTGTAGATCAGGCTGGCCTCGAACTCACACAGATCCATCTGCCTCTGCCTTCTGAGTTCTAGGATTAAAATCTTGTGCCACCAAATGCCAGGCAACTTCCTGCCTCTTGATACAAAATAAAACAAGCAGAAAGTAATGAAGACATAGCAAATTTAAAATCAGAATCAACCAAAGTTGAAATAATTAGCACCAATAGAACATTCCATCCAGTACTTTGATAGCCAATACACCAATAGTTAGGTCAGCACCCATGATCTAATCCTCTCTAGGAATGCTGTCATAGGCACCCAGAGAAAGGCATCTCCCAATTCAAACAAGTGGTCAATCAAGATTGGCTATCACAATCAGAATCCTATAGGCTATTTGACCCCACTTTAATTCAACATTGTACTGGTGGGTATAACTAACCCACCAATAATTCAAGAAAGGAAAACAAAGGCTAGTAGACTGTAAGAGAAATAAAACTACTTGAGGATATAGTTAGTATATTGGGGGATGCTATAATAAAATATCATATATGGAATAAATTGGTTTATTTTTCATTGTCTGGTATCCTTGGACATTCAAGTTCATGGCAACATCTGATATACTGATGCACTGCTTTCTACTTCTTATAAACTGCTTTCTTAATGTATTACCTCATAGTGAGAGAGACATGAGGGAAGGCTCTCTCATGCTATTCCATATAGACATGAATCCCATTTATGAAATTCCAAAGTCCTTTTTACCAAGTTACCCACTAAAGAACTCTTACCTCTTAATTCTGTCATATGGGATTTTTGAAGATACCATCACCCAGACCACAGTGTATATAGACACAAAAATATTGAAAATTTGAAAGGTAAATAACACTATTTATAATAGCATCATGCTATTGACTAGAGATAGAGTGGGAAGAAGTGTAAGACCCATTTACAGGAAACTGTGAAGCTTGCTAAAACAGTATGTTAAGGCTGGTTAAGGTTTGAATATGAAATTCCCCAGACAGTTTTGAATACTTGTTCCATATCTGTTGATGCTTATTTGAAAGGCTCCAGAATCTTCAGGAAGTAGGAACTAGTTTGTACAAGTAGGTCAGTATGGCACAGCTCTTTGAAGATACACCCAGTCTCTGCTGTCTTGCTTTCTGCACCACCATCCTCCAAGATATCCAAAGTCTCTGCCACCATGAACTAAGCTGCTTTGCCAAGCCACTCCTTGGCCATGGAACACTGACTACCATTAGAAACTGTGAGTCAAAAGCAACCTTGTCCCTCCCCTCCCCCATCAAGAATGGTGACCACAGGCTTCACAAAAGAGAATGGCTTGCTGATTTTCCTCAAGGAGCCAAAAAGTTTGTATTAACATAGTTGCAAAGAGAATGAAAAATGTGGTTCATGTTTTTCAGCACCATAGAAATGCATTCTAGAAAAGAATCTCAAATGTGTTTAATGTGAAAATGTTTCAAATGAATGTTTAACTTGAAAAGATTTGTTCTTTAAATACATATTGAAGCTTACAGCTGTCAGTCTGTTTTATACTTGGTAAAGGGGTGCAGTGTCCATATCATGAAACTATTGTCAAACATGTGGGTAGAAAATAAAAACATAAAATATGAATAACCTAGAAAGTATACTCAGTATACAGGAAATAGGAGGCTGACATTTAGATAGTATGGTCATAAAAAGCCGGTGTGAGTTTTGGGACCATAACCAAACAAGGGAAAGAGCATAGCTTAAGGAGCAGCAACCGGGAAAGCTCTGGGTAGGCCAGTAGAGAGTGGAGGGAGAAATTCTATGCATCCCAAAGCCAAAGGAGATCAAATTAAACTAGTTTATGGAGAGTGAAGAAAGGGGAAATACAACTTAATATAAAAGAAGTAGGCAGAGGCCATATACAGGATCGTGGAAGAACTGGGGTTGTATTCAAAGTGAAGGAGGAAGCTACTTGACATGTTTTAAAAATTACCATTGTGTCTATAGGAATGTGTGTGGGAGGGTGTGGGGTGCAAAAATCAACAGCATGTGGATGGAAGTCAGCACCACTCTATATAGTTGGTTCTCACACTTTTTCTTTTTTATTATTTTTTCATTTATTTTACATACCAACTATGTTTCCTTTCCCTCCTCTCTTCCCATTCCCTCCACCACCACCTGTCTACTCCCACCACCACCACCACATCCACCCCTCCTAGTTTCAGAAAGGGCCACCAAAGCAAGGCATATTAAGTTGAGGCGGAACCAAGCTCCTCCCCTTGCATAAAGTCTTGGCTAGGCACCCCAGCATAGGGAATAGGTTCCAAAAAAGCCAGAGCATGTGCCAGGGACAGGTCTTGATCCCACTGCTAGGGGTTCCACAGATCAAGCTACACAACTGTCACCCACATGCAAAGGGCCTACGTCAATCCCATGCAGGCTCCCCAGCTATTGGTCTAGAGTCCATGAGCTCCCACTAGCTCAGGTCAACTGTCTCTGTTTATTTCCTCTGTTGACCCTTCTGCCCTTGCTAGTATAATCCCTCCTCCCTTTCTTCAACTGGACAGTGGAGAACCAGGAGTTGAACTAGTGTTATCAGTCTTCCACAACAAGTACTTTGACCCCCTGAGCCAAACAGCAAGCCCCATTTTATAAACAAACTAGAAATACAATTAGATTATGTGTGTGCATGTATGTATGTGTGTGTATATATATAGACATACACACACACATACATACATACATACATACATACTGCTTATTTTTTTTAACAGTGGGTCTCATATTGCAGCCAGGCTGGTTTGTAATTCATTGTGTAACCCAGAATGCCTTCAAACTCATGCCATAGCTTCTTGAGTGCTGGAATTACAGGGAGGAGACATAACATCTGGCGCTTGACTTTTGATTTTTAAAAGAGTATCAACTGCTGTAGTGAAGAGTCAACAGGAGACAAAATAAATGAAACACAAACACATAAACATGCTAAAGTATATATAAAACTTTTATTTAAACACAAAACCATTTATCAGAGATCTTGAAAGAATACAAAGAGGGAACATTACAATATATATGTGATTGGAAATAAACTAGCTAAGAGACTGAAAAGAACAGACCATATGATGATTTTAAAAACACAACCCACTCCTCTGAAAAATAAAGAAGACTGTCATGGGGGGGGCAATAACACCCCTGATACACATGGTGGTAGGATCCAGATTTATAACACAACTGGGGGAAAGTTAGTTACCTTAAATCTAGTTGGTTTAATATGACTGAAACTTCCAGCAAAACTAATCTGTAGAGATAATCTCTCAACTCCATCTCCCACAGACCAAAGAGTTTTGGAGCTAATCTCACACTAAAATAAGCAGGCTCGTTCAGTAAGGGTCAACAGAACAGCAAACAGGAGATGTAGAATTCTGCAAATGGGAAACTATAAATTTATACAGATGGATTTTATTAGCTTTTATTATATCTTGCTGGTGTCTTGATTTGCACTTAGGGGCAAGATAAGTCTTTTTAAATACCATAATTACCATATGTATTAAGTTTAGTGATAAATCTTGAAACTCATAGAAGGAAAATGAATACATAAAATATGAAATTATGTATAACAGGGAGCACACAAATTGGTTTAATATTGTTATTGGATTACTAGTAAATGGGTATTGTGTGTACAGAGGATAAACTGAATAAACTACCAGACTGAACTGCTTACTACATACTATTCTGGAGTGATGTAATGTATACCTGTATACTTGAATGAAACAAACCCTTTTAGATGGCATGTTATCTTTTAAATGCATTGACAATAAACCCATCTTTAAGATAAAACATGTGTGGCATCCTTGGATTCTGGAAAATCCATTAAGTTTCCAAGTTTAAAGATTACAAGATGTCGAACATTTTTCTGATACTTATCTAAACTGAACTGCTCATTTCAGTCCTTGGTGCCATACTTTATTTTTCAGTATACTCCTTTATTTCAACTTGATTAAAAATATTGACTCTTGCGCCAAAAATTAATACCCTGAAATTTCAAATGTAGCCAAGGTAATGTGGTTTGCTTGTTATTAGCAAAAACAGTGGGGGGAAAATTTAAATGGAATATTTGGTCTTTTAAAAAAATCCAGAGCTACGCATACTTCGACAAGCATTGCAATTTAAAATCTTCTCAATACTACTTAAAAGGAAGAAATGGAAGCTCAAGAAGTTCGCTTTAGGCAAAGCAAAAATTCACCCTTTGGGCCTTTTGTGTGATGTGGTGGAGGCCAGCATAATATCTTGGGATACTGAGACTCATTCATCACAGAAACAAGAAAACAAAACAGATGGGAAGCAAACGAAATCAGCAAGTTGCGATTGTCTAGCACAGAACTGGCCATTGGTTGCTCTCCAGCCCTCTCAGTGTAGCTCCATGACTTAGGACCTGAAAGCAAACGAAGCTCCCGTCCGACCCCGCCCACCTCCCAGGCAACCCAGCCTGCAGGCTCTGCACAGCTGGCCACCAAGCCCCGCCTACCTCCCGGCCTCCTCCTCTGCCACTGCCTCCTTGCCTGATGTCTTCCTTCCTTCCTCACATTCCCATCGCCCACATTTCTCTCCGAGTGATGGGGCAAGAAGAACAAACGCCCGAAACAGAGGCTTGTGAGCGGAGGTGAAGGGCCGGGCGGCGCGGCCCGCCGAGACGGCTCTTCAGGCATCGCTCGGGGCAGCCCTACGGGCGCCCTCACCTGAAGCCCGAGGGGTCCTCGCGCCAGAGCTCGGCGCGCTGATTGGCTGTTGGGAAGGAACCCGGATGTGCCTGGAAGCTGTGTTGGCAGTCTGAGCGCTGAGGTTTGGGCGCTCTTGGGGTCCCGAGGGCCGGGCGGATGGCTCAGGATTGGGCGGGCTTCTCTGAGGAAGAGCTGAGGAGGCTGAAGCAGAATAAAGGTAACGTGTGTTTGCGGAGTCTTGAGCCTGTGCAGGACAGGAAGCCTTGCGGGTGGGCGAGGGGGCGTGGGGCCTGGAGCTGCAAGCGGGCGGGCAAGAATGGGGGGGGCTCCCCAGGTGGGTGTCTTAGCAGCCCGGGCCAGAGGGATGGACCCGGAGGGTTTCTCAGTTAGGATCCGTTTTTCGCTCACTTTTTCCTGTGGGAAGGGATGAGGCTAGAGAGAAAGAGGAAGCGAGGCTACTACCCGAATGGCTCCTACAGAGAGATTACAGCAGTAAATAGTTGCAGATTTAAGGTCAGGGTGACTGAGAGGAGCGTTGCACACATGCCATTGCAGTTGTGTTGAGCTTGTAAAAGCAATTATTGGGAAAGGGATCATGAGAGTGGATAATCGCAAAAGAAGTGATTTTTATGATACATCTGCATTGCGTTTACTTCTGGTTACCAGATGATTTTGCACGTCTTTCCAGTTCTTGGGAGTTAGCAAACCAAAAGGATTTTTGAGAGGTTAGATTTGAAGCGCGTGTGTGTATTTGTATGCACGTGCACAGTACAGTATTGCCTTTAGGGCCAGCCAAAATCTCATTCGCTCTCCTGGGGGCTTTATGGAGTAATTATGTGTCATTGAATGGGCTTGCTATATATGTTGCTTCTGATTAACTTTTCCGATACTTGGTAGGAGACTATATAAAATGCTCTTGACCTGAGATTGAAATTTCACAAAGATAATATGTGGTAATCTTGGTAATGCCCATCACTTCTGTGAGAACTTTAAATCTTCCAATGTCTGTAGTTAGTGAGAAATGTGGATGTAGCGCAGGTAACTTTTCACCTAGATGTGAGAATTATCAAGGGCTGACATGTGCAAAAGGAAGTAAATTGCTAACTTGGAGAATGAAATCACACATTGGGGGACATCGTAAGATTATATACTGTCAGGTGTGTTCAACTGATTCTGTCTGGCTGGGTGCCTTCAAATTCTTTTGTTATGTGATTTCATTCTCCAACCACATACCTATATTTACAAAGTATAGGTGCCTTGTTTCTGATCTGGGTGTTTCAAATTCTGGGTGTCAGCTTCTGAATTAGGTGTGTTGTCTGGTCCAAGGGCCTCTTCCATTCTTGTCAAGGGGAATGCTAACCTATCATTCAACACAACCTCTGCATTAGAGATGTAAAGATGAGCAGGGCATCTTTGCCTTCATAGAGCTTGTAGATTAATGAGACAGGCCATCGAGTAATGTGGTAATAATAGATATTTTACAAGTGGTAGCCATAGAGCAACCTCATGCTGAGGATTTAATGGACTGTGGGGATATTTCATGGAGATTAAATGTTGGCAGATGCTTGTTAGTCAGGGCAAAGGTTTAATGTAGGACTCTAATATGTTTGTTATCTAAAAGTATATTTTAAGGTATTTTTGTAGTTTGGGTTTGGTTAGAAGGTGATAAGGACCCGAATTTGGTGGTGAAATTTAGACTGTGATTATAAAGTCACTTATCTGTGACTGCTGTGAGGACAGAGGAAACATCTTTGCATTTCCGTGTAGCCAAAATGGAACCAAGTGATCTGCAATAAATAAATAAATAAATAAATACACCAAGTCTTCTACCTTGGGTTCCCATTTTTAAAGCCTCAGAAATTAAATCTTCATTGCCGCTGTAAAGAAGGAAGTTAAGTAATCTGGGAAGATGGGATTGGTTGCTGTCAAAAATAAGGACAGGGTGCTTTTGAAACACTTGAGTGCTCATGCAATCGAGAATGTTCTTAGCTATTTTGTTTATAATATTCAAACATTAAAAGCAAAACAATTGTCTACTTACACGGAAGAGGATAAGTAATGTGCTAGTTAGTGAGACTGTTGATCACTAGCCACATTTATTAATTTGTAAATTACATAAATCTATGCAAAAGGAGCAAGTTGTAGCTGAGTAGATATGATCGGATAGTTTGTTCATGAACAAAATCATGTAAAGCAGGTGTATGTAAAGACATTATATCTGAAAATATCAAAGGAATGAAACACAGGATTCTGATTGGCAGAGAGGCAAGGGGATGTGATTAAGGAGGGACAAATACAGCAGTATCGGTATTAAAAACAGTTTAAATTGAAACAAGGAAAAGCGTGAACATAGCCAATTGTTTAAAATAAGCAAGGCTTACTTTTCAGTTTGGTGTCATGTGTAACATAGGTTGCAGGTGAAGCTGATACACAGTCATTCCACACTGAGTTTTGATGCTGTTACGTGGGAGGTATTTATGACAGGGAGAAAAGATTGGAAATTGGACACTAGTAATTAAATGCTTTCGTTAGCAAATAACTAATAAAAAGTTGTAATTGGGGGGGTATGTCAACTATAGTCATTGACATCTTAAACTAAATTATTTTCAGTCATACATATTGGAAGAGTGTATGACATACATACACCAATATGACCATATATATGTATATTCATATACACACATGATCTATGGTTGATTTCACTTGGAAAAAAGTGGAAGAATGCATTGCAACCATACTCTGACAGTTTTAAGGTAAATATTTATTTCTGTGTGTTCTTTGTTATTGTTTATGACTTATTGTATGTATGTATGTGGGCCCTTTTGCTTTCGCCAAAGCATGGGCATGGCAGTCAGAGAATGTCTTGTAGGACTCAGTTCACTTCTTCTACCATGTGGTTCCTAAGGATCATAACTCAGTCTTCAAGCTTCTTGACAAATGTCCATCTCACCCACTGCTTTTATTCTTTCTTTCTTCCTTCCTTTCTTTCTTTCTCTTTCTTTCTTTCTATCTATCTATCTATCTATCTATTTATTTATTTATTTATTTTTGGGTTTTTTAGACCAGGCTGATCTCGAACTCAGAGATCTGCCTGCCTCTGCCTCCCAAGTGCTGGGACTAAAGGTATGTGCCACCACTGCCCAGCTGCCTTTATTCTTCATATCAGTATTCATTCTAGTCCCTTTGTTCTTATTTACTAATATCATTCCTAGTCTAAACATTTACATTTTCATATAAAAACTTTTTAAAATAATTTTACCAAATTTCAGGGAACAGCAATTTGGTTGGAATTGCATTGAATCTTTGGAGATTCTTGACATTATCATATAATTAACACTACCAGTAAGGTGGTATATTTCCATTTATTTAGACCTTTCTATAATACCTTATACATTTTAAGAATTCTCCTCCTATACAAATATTGAATGTTTTCTCTTAGATTTTTTTTTTTTGTGTGTGTCCTGGATATATGACCATTTATGGTATTGAATTATTCTCTCTTTAATTATGTTATCAATTCTTTGCTAGTAATTTGTAATTAATACAAACTAAAACAATAAATATTTCAAAGAAAAGGAATATGAACATCAACAACATGCCAAGCATTAAAAATCAAAAACATGGTGAGATACCCACCTTAGGCTCTCTTGATTGTTGAAAGTCAAAACAATAAACAAAACAGTACCATGTGTTTCATTGGATTCTTATATTTATGATTGTGAACCTAGCCTTTAACAGCTGAGCCTAGCCTTTAATGGCTGAGCTATCCCTCCAGCCCTAACATGGATTATTACCCACTGCTGGATGAAATACACTTCAGAAAGCAGTCTAATATCTAATGTTTAGACTTTAACTCCCAGTACTTTGGGGTAATATCCAAGGCAAAATTTAGCATGTAAGGAAGTGTAACAGCCAGGTTCACAAAAGTAAAATTGAAACCAACCCAAGTGTCCCTTGGGAAGATCAGTAAATTCTGGATTTGTCACTATGTGGGTGATGGGAGATGTCATTCTGTAAATATGTTTCTCTTATTGCTTGATGAATAAAGCACTGTTCGGCCAATGAGGCAGAATGATAGGGTGGTACTAGGAGACAAGGAGGAGACAGAGTAGTAGTTGTCATGTGATTCCAGGAAGAGCAGGCTTGAGTCAGGTAAGATAAGACTATGTGGAAATACTTGGATTAATAGAAATGGGTTAATAATTAAGACAGAGCTAGCCAATAAGAAACCCAAGCCAACAGCCAACAGCTTTATAACTAATATAGCATCCATGTGTCTCTTTTGGGCTGAGAAGGGTGGCGGGACCAGAAAACTCATGCTTACACTGTGGTATGGTTCAGCACTTGAAATGAGTAACTCTAACAGTGTTGATACTGTGGGTGAATATTGTCAACATGTTGCTAAGAAATACTTGTACAGTACATGTTTTATAAAATTAATACTTTTTAGAAATAGTTGTAGACTGATACAGAAATGATCAACACATGATTCAAATGATATTGAAAACATGAATTAGAGGGTAGGGCTTAAGTACAAGATCTAGAGTAGATCTCACAAACTACCTATTGGCTAAATTACACCTACATGAAAAGTTATTTGGGGGCTGAAGAGAAGAGTCATCAGTTAAAGAGCTCTCTGTGAACTTCTAAAGGGCCTGGGTTAAGTTTCCAGCACCCACTTGGCCGCTCACAACCTTAAGTAACTAAGGTTCCTTGGGTCTGACTGTCCCTTCTGGCCTCTGAGGGTCACTGCATGTACATGCTGTACTTACTTACATGCAAGCAAAACACTTGAATGCAAAATTAAAATCTTTAATAATATTATTTGACTTTTCAGGTTTTTTCTCTTCTTGCTTTTGAGTATCCAGTTTTTAAAACGGTAATAGGTATCGTCAGTACAGTACTGTTTACAAAACTAATGTGCTTGTTGGCTTTGGGGTTTTTTTTTTTGTGTGTGTGTGTATGTTTTGTTGTTGTTGTTGTTTGCTTTATGGTTCTCAGTATTCAACCCAGAGCCTCATAATGTTGCTTCCCTGAGCCTGGCCTTTAGCTAGAACATACCACCAAAGATTAAAAGTTTCTTTCCACTCTAGCATAGTCTAGGTTTTTATGATTGGTTGAGTTCCCTACATTTAAAACCTCATGCAATTTGTATAATACTGATTTTTAAGAACTGGGACTGAAGCTAAGTGGTTGAGCACTAGCCTGGCATGTTACAATCCAGCACCACAGGGGGGAAAAAATATTCAAATAGAAATAATTTTTTAAGTACCTGTTTTTAATTGTGAAAATCAAAGTATCCAGCTGTATTGACCTAAATTGCTGTAATGACAGCAGCTGACTGGAAGTGACTGTGGCTAGTCCTTCTTTGCACTAGATTTATGCTTCTTGGCAGGCCCTGGTTTTTTTTATTTATAGTTTCCAGTACTTAGTGCTTAAACAATGTGTTCTATTTTTACATGCCCTTATTTATTTATTTATCGCTAGTGGAAAATGAATCATTCTAAGCCTTATATCTATGCTTTGTAAAAATATAAAGAAAAATAGACATAGTTGAATTACAAAGGAACTATTCACTATTCAGTTAATGTTTTCACAAAACAGCCTCAGTGATATTTTCTGATGGTGTAAATATGAACAAAATAGAGGAGGGTAATTTGTGCTTCTGGGAAGAGTCCGTGTTAGTTATTTTTCTTATGACTGTGATAAAACACTCTGACAAGGCCAGGCAGTGGTGACACATACCTTTAGTCCCAGTACTCAGGAGGCAGAGGCAGGTGGATTTCTGTGAGTTCAAGACCAGCCTGGTCTACAGAGCTAGTTCCAGGACAGGCTCCAAAGCCATCAAGAACCCCTGTCTCTAGAAACCAAAAACAAACAAACAACAACAAAAACACCCTGACAAAAGCAACTTAAAGGAAAAGGGATTGTGTTGGCTCACAGTTGGAGAGTATTGGTGGCATCATGGTGGAGAAGTCTTGGAGGCAGGACTTGGAGTAACTGGTTGTGTTGCCTCCAAAAGCAGAAAACATGAATGCCTATGTTCAACTCATTTTCTCCTTTTTATACACTCCAGGAGATGAGCCCAGGGAATGGTGTCACTTGCAATGAGTGTGTCTTTGTACCTCAATTAATCTACTCTAGATAATCCACCACATGCTCATCCATAGGACCATCTCCCAGGTGATCATAAATCTCATCAAGTTGATGATTCAAATTAACCGACACAGTTCACAATTTTGATATTACCTCTGTCTTCTTTAAAAAAAAAAAAAAAAAAAAATTTCCATGCATATCTCATTCTTGCATTGCCTCCATGGGTAAAGTACAACAAATAGTTACAACTGGTATGGCAGATGTAGAGTCCATTGAACTAGGCTGAAGCCAATGTACTAATGAGTACTAATGAGTAATAATGTACTGAGTACAAAGTTTTCAACTCTACTTTGGAGATTTTAAATTAATACACTTGTACTTCAGAGGTCAGTGTGTAGAATTTAAACATCATATCTGACAAGTCATTTGTTTGGTTGGTTTTTGTTTTCTTGCAGTGCTGGGGACTGAACACAGTGCCTTGTAAATTCTAGGCAAATGCTGTACCACTGTGTGGCATGCACAACCTTAAAGGTCCTATTTCAGTGCTCACTTGCAAGGAATAATAATTTTATACAATGCAGTTTTGTAGGTCATATTAAATGTAGCATGAAAGTGAAATTCCCCTCTTATCTGTCCTAAGAGTTTAATCTTGGTACAAATATTTCTCCCAAAACAATCTGTTGTTTCATTTATGCTTTCTAAAAAATTCCCTGTAATTATTTTAACAATCTCTGTTATTTCATTTATACTTTAAAAAAAATCTCTGTAACTATTTTATATCTCTTTCTGTTGCTTGCTCCAGGATGCTGTTAAAATTAGTTTGAATGCATTAATTAGAACTTACCTGGTCTTTGGTGAATATGCCTTTGATTGATCTATCTGTAAACTAAAACAGTTGTAGAAGTAAGTAGCATTGTTCTAAGATGAAAATCTAAGGGAGGGGCATCTTATTTGACAACTAGACATTAGTTGTGTCTGCACAACAGGGAAAATTATGACTCAAACCAACAATAATAATATTTCAGAGAATTCAATTGACTACCTAGTTTCATCAAAATTAGTTCTTTCATAGTCCTCAAGTTAAAATGAAAACTACCTTGTGCCCTCAGATCTGTGTCAATGAAATAGATTTCCTATAAAGATGAATTGAGAAAGAGGCTGGTTTTTGTTAAATATTAGTGTTATGATATAAGAACTATTGAACTCAGGAAAATGGTTAATTTTCCCCCCCCCCTGGACTTTCAAGATAGAGGATAGGACCTCTAGAATTATAAAATGTAATGGCACTGCTTTATGTTTTTAGAGAAATTATGGTTATTTGCTGTTCACACAAGGACTCTTCATTTGCTCTCTCTTACTTAGATCCGTTTGAACCTCAGCGCCGTCTCCCTGTGAAAAAAACTCGACAACAGCTTCAACGAGAAAAAGCCCTTCTAGAACAGAGCCAAAAACTTGGACTTCCAGATGGATCCGCTTCATTACCTCCAGAGCAGATGCTCTTTACACCCAAACAGAGAGTTAACAATGAAAAAACAAGTCCTTCCCTGGCAGTCCCTAACCCTCTCGCACTCAGCTCTTCCACTGGCAATGGGAAGCCACAAGGTATTGAAAGTCAGCCACAGGAAGCAGGGCTTCACAATTCCCACAGCGGCCACAGAAATGCCGAGGTTCTAACACCAAAGCCAGATTGCAAAGTGGAAAAAAAGAAAATGGAATTGTTAGTAAGTCTGTGAGACTTTCCATCTTTTCCCCGGGGACTGGGGACTGGGAAGAAATATATTTTGCTGTTGTTGAGGTTTTTGTTTTGTTTTTTTTTTTTTATTTGTTTTGTTTTTGCATAGAAATGAAATCAGTAAACTATTGAAAGGAATCAACCACCTAATTATATTATTAGCTAAATATTTTGTCCTGTCATTTACTCTTATAATTCATGCTTATTGTGTTCACTTTATGGAGGAGTTATCTAGGACTTATAAAAGATACTGTTTTTTTTTTAAACGTTAGATGTGTGGCATATTCTGGTAAGCATAGTACTTGTGCAAAGGAAGGAGCTTTCAAGTCCTGACACCAGACTGATCTACATAGTGACTTCCAGGCTAAGCTAAGCAGTATAGCAAGACCCTCTCTCAAATTTACATACAACACACAGAGGCAGGGGACTATCTTCCTAAAGCTAACATCTACAGCCATTAAGTAATAGAGTTGAGACATTCTTTGTATTAGAATCTGTAGTTTAGCTCCACCCATGTAGAGATTTCCATTTGCTAACTTTTGAATTCTTAGTAATGGAAAGAAAAGATGGCATTTGTTTTTGTTTTTCCCAATATCAAATATAGTCCTTATCTCTGCTGATTTTGTGTCATGAGAGTCCTGCCTATCAGAGTTTTGTGATGTAATTCATTTTGATGAGATATATAAAATCACATGAATTAACTTTGTTTTCTTGGTTTTTGGTTTGTTGTACAACAAAGCCTTACTATAGCTCGGGAAGGCTTTGCATTTGTGATTGAAATGGACAACTTAGATAAGATGCCATTAGGAATATCATTGGTTTTTAGATACTCTGGGATATCCATGGGAGATAGTAATTTGAGGAACATTGATTTTTAAAAGGAAGAAATCTGATATGATGAGCTTGGGAAAGGAGAGCTGTATCCTTCAGTGTTCTATGATGACATCTTGGTTTTCTGGGTGAGGCTAAAGAACAGTAGAGAAATAGAAGACAGCAAGGATATCAGAAATGCCTGCTACCTTATATAGCATAATACTAGAGTCCCAGGGGAAAGTGTCCTGGTCAAAGTAGTGATTAGAGAAATGATGGGTGTCTGTGTACAGCTTGGGAGAGGGAACCAGATGAACCAGGCATGAGGTGCTTGTGGAGTGGGAAACATGAGAAGGGACCGGTGCCAACCCTCAAGTGGAAGCCGTAGTAACAGAAAGAGAAGGGCAGGTTTACACATGGTTGCTAGGTCAGTGGATAAAGGTGTTGGATGGTCCAGTAGGAGGAAGAACTTTGCTGTGACCTTTTTTGTGTTGATAGCCTCATGACTATGGAAATATTCATGCGCCCTTTTCAGAATTGGGCATGTTAGAAGCTATAGAACATGTTTTCAGTCTTTGACTTCTGTATTAGTGTATTCCTTTTGCCTTAAGTTCTGACAGCTTCTCATTTAAAACTGTCAGAGTCAGAGATAAAGGACTCAACAGATTGTGTGTGTGTGTGTGTGTGTGTGTGTGTGTGTGTGTGTGTGTATATATATATATATATATATATATATACACATACATATATGTGTGTGTGTAATGATAAAGGCTGTCAACTTGAGGGGGGGTGGGAGGTATTGGAGGAAGGAAAGAGAAGGCGAAAGTGATGTAATTCTGTTTTGATTTAGAAACCTGTTTTTAAAACAGAGTTGGAGAAAAGTGATCAAATTTAAAAAAAAAAAAAAAGTAATAAACAAGCACTGGCTGTTGCCTTAAGATGTCAAGCAAGTCCAGACTTTATTCATAAAGAAAATTCTAAAAGGTAGAACATGACAGCAACCTCAGACCAATATACTTTGACTTCCATTTTACATATGTTATTATCCACGCACATATTCCTTTGTACTCCTAAAAGAATGTCACAGTACTTGGGTCTCCAGTTTGTGGGTTCCTAGATTATATACATATATAGATTTCAAAGGTCCAATTTATGGAAGGCTCTTTACTTCAGCTCATGTTCTTTGTTCGTATTAGAACAGAATAATGAGCTGCAGATGGGTTTCTTTTAAAGGGATTTTTGAAGGAAATATATGTAATCTGCCTGATTAAATTTTATGTGTAGGAGACAGAGTGGTAAGGTGTGGAACTGGGTCAGTCTTTTTTATAAATTCATTTTTGTGCCTTTTTTTTTTTTTTTTTTCAGGCAAGAAAAATCTCGTTGGGAAGTCCTCCAACAAGAACAGCGACTAATGGAAGAGAAAAATAAACGTAAGAAAGCCCTTTTGGCTCAAGCCATTGCTGAAAGGTGAGGTATCTGGGTCAGGGGCTTGTAACCCACAGTTTTCTCTTAGCGCTTGCTTATGTTTATTTTCCCATGCCTTACTCAGTAAACCAGTATTTCATTGAAACTCTTAGAGACAAATTATACTTTAAATGAAATGATACTGAAATTCTAGTTTTACCTTTACCTTTGGGGGGGGATTTATTTATTTTTTTTTTTTTTAAAGAATGAATCATAAATATTTTTGTGGTGTCAGCTGCAAGTGGAGGGCTGGCATCAGTGTCAGCCATCTGCTAACACACAGTCACAGGGCAGCAGAAATGGGTATCAGTGTGTCTTGAGTGAGTAGTAAAAGCAGGCTTTAATTTTGATGTGGAAAATGTTGGCATCTAGCATGTAAAGGGTAAGATAAGTACAGGAGTAACTAACACTGTTGTAAACTTTGATTGTGTTCCTTACTGGCATTTAAAACAAAACAACACAAAACAAAACAAAAAAACAGGTTACTGTGTTTTATTGGTAACTTACAGCAGCCATCATTTAGTCTGCATGAGGTTTGATTACCCTCCCCGGTACCCCACACACACACACCTTCAGTGTTAAGTGTATCAGTAATCTCTTCTCATGTACTATATCATACAGACACAAACTGCAGCATTCTCCATGTAAGCCATTCTTCCCTGTCCCTGCTGCTCTCCTATGCTTTGAGTTTATAATTCTGATTCTCCTGTTGTCTTACGCTGTGTCAAAAATGTCATGATTGAAGTGAATGCAAGCAAACATTCAATGATGTGTTGTTTTTAAGGCCTCCAAATAGGAGGAGTGGGATGTGCCTGCAATCCCAGCACTCCCAAGGCTGAGGCAGGAAGATAGGCCTAAGTTCAAGGTCAGCCTAAGCTGCACAGCTATAGAGCAAGACCCTGTATTATACTGTCCCTGCTTGAAGTTTAAGTTGGTAGAAGGGCAGAAGAGGTGAAGGAGGGTAGGCAGATATAAGAATAATGCAGAGAGAGAAACATTTAAGAAGATTGTTTTCCCTTTTAGAACAATTTCTCATGAAGTATAATAAAGATACAACTCACAGGTTGGCTTATAGTTGAAGAAAAAGAACAAACTATAACTAATGCCATCTTTTTCCCCAGAAGTGATTTATTGCACTTAAAAAAAAAAAAAAAAAAAAAAAAAAAAAAAAGGATTTTCTTAGTCATTACTAAGAGTAGAGTGTTTATTGGAAATTTTACAAAAGAACTTATGTCTGTTCAGCTTGTTGTAGTGCTGCAGACCTATAATCCTGGTACTTGGGAGATAGAGGCAGGAGAATTTTGAGTGTAAAGCTAGCCTGGACCATGCTGTCTCCTGTCTTAAAAAGAATGTATAGTTTCCATACTTCTCTGCTGTTGATTTAAGGCAGGGTAACAGAAGGAGACAGAGATGCAGGGAAACACAGCATGATTCTCTTGTTAATAAATGCTTATGAAGTACTTGAAATGATACTTTGTTGCTTGGTGAACATGGACAGAAAGGGAAGATGAATACCTAATACAGTAAAAGTTAGAAGAGGCAATTAAATGATCAAGTTGGGTGTGCTTTTCAACAGAAGACAGTCTGAGTTCCATGGAAAATTTAAGAACCTGTATACAGTTTTCCTAGGAATCAAGATGAGACTGAAGAAGTTGAAATCATAGATGCTTTCACATGGAAATATTACTTGGTGAGGTTGAGTCTGCATGCCAAGTGAGGGTGAGGTGAAAATGGACTCTGGAGAACAGAATCCAGGCTTCGGGAAGCTTGTTGGATACATCCATGTGAAGGGAAGGAACAGTGACATGTTCTTTCAAAACTTTTTCTTGAAGAATAGTTGAGTCCACACAAGAACTTCAGCAGAAATTTTTATAAGAAGTCTTAATTTTTGCTTTGTTCGTGAGAATGATATGTACTACTAGAAAATTAAGGAAAAACTAGGAGAAAAGAACATTTTTTTTGTCAATTCTGGTTTTTTTTTTTTTTTCTAAGTTTTGAAACAAATGTCATGAACTATAATTATATACACAATCACCATCTTTTTCCATATATATCATGTATGGATATGTGGTCTTAAAGCGTTTTCCTCCAGCTCACACTCCTGGTTTTCCAGATCTAAAAGGACCCAAGCAGAGACCATGAAACTCAAGAGGATCCAGAAGGAGTTACAGGCCTTAGACGACATGGTGTCAGCTGACATTGGGATCCTCAGGAACAGAATTGACCAGGCCAGCCTAGAGTATTCCTATGCACGGTGGGTAGGACAGTAAGGTCTGAAGAATCTGCTTGGAGTCCTGTGTGTTACTAACTATGCCAGTGGGTTTTATGTATCTCTCCAGTAAAGTCTCAAGAGAATGCTGTTAGTTATGTGCTAATTCAGGTGGCTGCCTGGCCTGTGGCTTGACCTTGTTGAAATTCCTCTTACAGCATTTCCTGAATTACTCATTTGCATTTTAGTGTTTCCTGATTAATCTTCAGCTATTTAATGTTTGAGACCCTGAGTATTTCAAGATCTGTTGAATTATATGCCTGATTAGCTCACAATAGAACTATATGATCCTAACACCAAGTCTATGTTCCTTCCATTAAAAGTTTGGCTCTTTGATATTGCCTTTGTGGAATTGGAGCCAAATTTTCATTCTGTTATCAAAGTAAGAAGATTAATTTATTTTGAGAAAACTTTTGAATATATCTAGGAATGCTAGTACATGCTTATATTCTCAGCACTCAAGAGACTTAAGTAGGAAGATCACTGCAAGTTCAAAGCTAACCTGGGGTACAAAGAAAGATTCTGTCTATGAGTAGAAAGAAGAAATACTTGTGGATTTATTTTCTTGACTATCCTGTAGATGCTGAGAAGTTTGTTTTTCCTTGTTTGGTTATACTTTGTACAAAATGGTCTGCTACCATGTGCTTCCTTGTTTTCAACTGTTGGCATTTTTATAAAAGAAAAAAACATTGTGGAATATTTTTAAAGTGAATAAACACATGTAAAGAATTACATGGGCCTTGCAAGCAGATAAAAGGGTAAAAAAAAATATGCCCAGTTTCAGGGTTCTCAGTCCCTTCGACATTGCTTTAATCATCCCAGTTTGTTTTTTTCACAAGGGAATGCTGTGCTAATGACTCAGCCTTGTATCTTTCTCTGTAACACTAGAAATCAATCAGAATGCTTCATTAGTCTCGGGTAAACCACAACATCAGAATGTTTATACAACAATTTAATAAAGTGGAAATGCTTGGTGATAGTTTTGATTCACTGTTTAGTGTTTAAAAGAGGCCTGTGGTTGTCCTTATGATTTGGGTAATTGTTGTTTGCTCACATGCTATGAATGGGTTGCCCTTATTAGTGGACAGCCTAAATTAATGCCATCAGTAGCTGATAACCAGAAGTTTCCGATTTCTGTTACTGTTAAGGAGGTCACTAGGATTTTGTTACACATAAACTCAGCCTTGACTGTCAGCACATCTTATTCTCTATAACTGAATTGGCCACCTTTGCAGCCTCTCATCTTGGTAGTTCATAGCATCTTATAGTCCTGGGTATAGCAGACAAGGTTAATTGTCAGTTTTTATTTAATTATTTCTTTTATTTATTGTGATTATAATGTATCATTTTCCTTCCTTTTCCTCAAACCCTCCAATATACCCCTCCTTGCTACTTTTCAAATTCATGGCCTCTGCTTTTCAATTGTTATTACATATGTACAGGTGTGTATGTGTGTACGTAAATACAATCTGCTCAATCTATGTTTTACTTCTGTCCTGAGAAGGCTGCAGAAAGATGTCCTTTTCACATTGGAAATTAGATAGGAAATGTCAGTATTAACTTTCAAAAACTATAGACAAAGTAGATTTCTATTTTTTTACTGAAACTTACGCAGAGAGTTCTTACACAGTGTTTCACATCATTATTTTTATTCCAGATGTTTAGTAAGCTAAAGATAGCATTTTCATGCCAGCTGTTACTGGCATGACTGTATGAATGGATGCTGATGTGGGAGGCACTTTCAAAGGCTAAGCTGTGAAGGTAAACCAGAGAAGCCATAGATAGTTTTAACTGGAATTAGGATTGTGCCTTGGTCATTCATAAGATTAATACAAATTTTTCTAAATTTGTATTTATGGTTATTGAGCAGTTATGGATATTGAGATGTATGTGGAAGTTGCATCTCCTTTTTGTCTTTAGAAATAGATTTTCATTCATTGACTCATGAGATTTAACAAATTCATTTGAATACACTATTCTGAACACTGATAGTTTACTTGCATGATCAGTTTTACTACTTAGACACGAGGCTCGACTCTGTATTGTTTCAGTTTCCTGGCAAGCTGTGTGCTTTAAAACACCAGAAAGTTCTCATTTTATATTTCTGGAGACTAGAGCCCCAAAATAGCAGGGCCATGATTTCTAAGAGACCCTATAGTTCAATTTTTTACCCTTTCCAACCTTAGATGGCCATATTTATTCCTGGACCTGTGGCCATAGTTCGCTGTCCTGTTTCCTCCTGTTTCCACATTTCCTCTACCCTTACTTACCACAGGTTCCATGAGATCTGAAATTCAGAATACCTCCTCATAAAGCCCTCAATCATATCAGTTATCCTAGAAACCAACTTCTAAAGTTCCACAAATTCAAAATTAATATTTTTTGGGAAGCTGGGCTTTAGTTTACACTCATATTTGAATTTCCTAGTAACATCAAAATGCCTTTCTCTGTCAATTTTCTCTATCTCCAATAGATGCATTTTTAAAAATTCCACAGTTGTATTCAGAGAAAACTAAGAACAATTAAGGTGACAGTATTACACATTCTTGAGGAGACATAATAGTTTTTAAAAAGCACTACAGAATTAACAGATGATAAATTATTCAGTTATCACATCATTTTTACATCACTCTCCATTTTCTTTTATTTTAGTTTGTATCATAGATAAGAATGAAAACTTTCTATGGTGATAGGATAACAAAATGTTTCAAAATAGAAAGAGAATATCTCTTAGATTCTGTTTTATTAACCAAGGTTCTTCTGTTCTTCAGAAATTCTAAGAAAAGGATCAAAATCATATGTTAATTTGTAACAATAGTTGAATTTTTCAGCAGATAGTCCTGTAAGCTAAAAGTGTAACAGTGGGACCCACTAGTGTAGAAAGGGTTAAACATTGAATATATATTTTTTAGACTGTGAAAGATACCAAGAGACAGTTCTAAAACCTTTAAATAACATTACATCACTCAGTATTCCCTTAAAATAACAAAAACAATTCTCTGATTGCATTTCCAGTTCAGTGTGCCCTACTAGCTTATGTATAATGATCTTATTCTCTTGCAGAGTACCCATCCTACCCAGATTCAGCATGAATGACAAGACCCCTAAACTAATCATGGAGTTTGTGAAACTAATCAATATTTTAAACATCAGTCACTCTGTAGGAGAATATATGTGCATTTATAAGTGATTTATCTGGGATGAACTCAGATCACTGGAAACCTAGGGACCTGATTGCAAATGTTAATTTGAATTCAGTGTTCATGATCCCAGTCTGTAAAACTCTCCTGACTGGATGAGCAGAGGTGAAGAGTAGGGGTAGGAACAGACCTGGAGAGAAGAGAATGTTGGGGAAAGCCTAAGGTATTCATATATCTATAATGTCAGAGCTCTTGACTTAATGTTAGAACACATAAGCAGATATGTTACCAAGTATAGAAACAAAGGACCAGATACCCAATAAAGTTATTTTAGCATAATTTTTTAGCATGGGAAATTATTGAAAAACAAAATATTTATTCTTACATTTATTAGGTCACAGTAAAATAAAAGAAGTACAATGAATGACCACTATGTAAATAACAATTTTAAAATTATAAATGCCAGAACCCTAAATATCCTGGAACTGTAGTTTTAGATACATGTCACTAAATGACAATGATGTTTTTTTTTTTTTTTTTTTTTTTTTTTTTGTGTTCTGAAGGAGAAGTTTTTCGGGCACTGGGAAGGATTTATGGATGGTTTATACTGGTGACTCTCAAGCTACATGTCTGTGTGACTCTGTTAATGTCATGGTTTTATAGATAGACACAAGACTGGGTTGCCCTAATTGCCAGAGTTACTGTAATGGATTTTGGTCTTTGCATAATCTCTTCTCCAACCCCTTTTGCAGAAATCCAAATATTTCAGTCATGATGTTGACCTGGTGGCAGATGTAGTTAGACCAAAGATTTGCAGCTATTCCAGGCCATTTCCTTCACAGGCTAACCAGTGGTTCATGACCAGTGATATTAAGAACTCCATTTAAGTTGAGATGAGTGAGGGTTTATATGCTGTGTTTCTGGATGTGGAGAAACTGAATGGAATGAATTTGACAGAAAGCTGATGGCCATCGTGGCCTGTGACTGTGAAGGAGAGTTCAGGTAGAAGTGGTATAGCTTCAGAACATGGAGAACAGCCTGTGATTCTGGTTTCTTGCCTTGTATCCTACAGTACAAGTCCGTTTCTTTCCCTAAGCTAGCTTGGCTAGATACCTGTACATTCCAAAGACCAAAAAGGTATACACAGAGGACAGTTTTGAACCTTCAGTTCTGTACAGTCAAAGCCTTTTATAATTTTCACTTTATGTCCTATGAAGATAATCCTATATTAAGAGGCATAATTCTTTCTTCTTTTCTGTAAGTTCTACTTAAAGCTGCATATTGGAGCTAATAAAGTTAAATAGGTAGGCCATCATAACTGGTAAGCCAACAGGGCCTTCACAAAAATTAAATTGAACTAGTTGGTAAGTTGGAATTTGTTTTCTTTCAGTGGAGGAAGAAACTGACTTTTAAAAAAAATAACACATGTAGAAAATGAAGATATGACAACCTTATTGTGTATAGCAATCTAATGTGAGGGGCAGGGGGGCATTGCAGGGTGGCCTCTCCTCTTCAGTTCCCTTGCTTCACAAGAGAGTGGTATTACTCATCCATACTGCTTATACCTGTGCAGATGAGCACAGTTATCTGCCTTCCTTCCTTCCCTCCTTCCTTCCTTCCTTCCTTCCTTCCTTCCTTCCTTCTTTCCATTTCCTTTTCCTCCCCGTCATGTATGCTAGGCAAGTACTCTGCCTTGAGCTATATTTACAGACTATAAAACCTCTTTTACATATAATAATAGTTCTTTGTTGTGTGGAATGAAATGACTTAGCCGAGAGATTTTCAAGGAAGCACTTGTGTGTCTTGGAGATGTTCTGGCAATGTCCAGAGATATTTTCGATATCATAGTTTAGTGTATGGTGGTACTAATAAGTAAACCAGTGATACTGTTTAGCATCCTACAGCTTATTGCTCAGCTCTTCACAAGAAAGAATTCCATGGTCCAAACTGTCAGTCTGGGCTTTGAGAAGTTTTGCGTAAACTGACCCTGGCTTGGTGGTTTCTATACTTGGTGTTTACTTCTTGCCCCTCATTTGGTATCTGTCCTTATTACGTTCACTCCTTCTTCATTAAAATATTTCTTTCCTAATCTTTTAATTGGGAGATGTGAGTTCTCTAATTTCTCTGTTCATCTCTTGCCTGCCATAAATTTAACCAACTGTGTACTTTGAGTTACTTATACTAGAGCTAACTTATGCTAGCTCCTGAGAGCAGGTTCTGGGCATTCAGTGGTGTCACATAGGAAGCTTGAAATTAGCCAGAGTGGCTGTATTTATACCTCATAGCTTGGCAAATGCTAAAAATCTGAGCTCTCTGTTCTCCTCTTCACCCCTTCACTCTAGAACTAATTTGCCACTAAATGAACTCTCTTGGCCTGCTGTCATGCAGACACAGCTTTGGAAAGACCTACTGAAGAATCACAGGCAATAAATCTAAATAAGTTTATTGCGATAGTTGTAACACCTTAGCCTAGTACATCTTACATGTTGTCAACTATTGTTAAAGCAATAGTTTTCATAGCTTCATTGTACATTTCATTTCCCATTCTTTAGTTTGTTTCTGCCTCTTAGAAAGTTTCCAATTGAAAGTGAATGAACTGATCTTTGTATGTGTCCTTATAGGAAGCGGTTTGACCGGGCTGAAGCAGAGTACATTACAGCGAAGCTGGATTTGCAGCGCAAAACCGAGACGAAAGAACAGCTCACTGAACACCTCTGTACCATCATCCAGCAGAATGAGCTCCGGAAGGCCAAGAAGCTAGAGGAGCTGATGCAGCAGCTGGATGTACAGGCTGATGAGGAGGCTCTGGAGCTGGAGGTGGAGGTTGAACAGTTGCTTCGAGACCAGGAAGCAGAGGCAGGCAAACAAGTGGTTCCTGTAGAGAGGTTGTGCCAGCCTGCTGCAGAGAATGTGTCTTCAGGGTCAGCTGACAGCAACAAAGAGCCTCAAGTGCAAGCTACTTCTCCAGAGGCAGACAAGCCGGGCAGACATTCCAGTAACCCTCCCCTTAGACTAGACTGCCCAGGTCAAGGAGCCAAGAACTTTTCAGCTGCTGTAGCCACATGAGGGGCTGGTGTTTGTTTAGTTAGCATATCTCTGAGGTAAATTAGCCTGTCAATGACAAGAGTTCTTTAAACCTGTTTGTGTTTGAATCCATGCTTAGTGTTGGTATGTTAACATATCTCATCATTTCAAAGTCACAGGTTGTGACAGTTTTATATCTAGGAAGTATTGACTACTCAGTGTTCCTTCAGTCCTTATTACTGAGTTAAAATAAGTAAATCAAAGGATGGAAGAGCCTGGGGCCCTGGGTTTGATTTTCAACACTACAAAACTAGTAGAAGATAAACTACATGGCTAGAGGATTTGAGCAGGTAAATTCAGAAAAGCAGAGTGAGAGGGTCCTCAATGCTTGACCAAACTTGTGATAAAATATTGACTGCATGGTCGATTTATGCAGTCATTAAAACAAAAATTACCTTAGTGAGAGGAGAAGAGAAAAATCAGATTAAATTGCCTCTCTGGTTACTATTAGAGTAACCAAATACAACTTGGAAATCACAGCTTATGTTAAGAACTAGACAACTTAAGCCAACATTATTTTCCCTTTAATTTGCCAGTAAATGGTTTCTTGTTTATACCTAAATTTTGGTCAGTTAATATACATTTATAAACAAACTGTCTATGTGTAATTTTACTTTTGGCATATTCTGTTTAGCTCAATCAGTGAATTGATAGGTAAAATATAGACAAAGGATTTCTAAAGTGAATATGAAAATGGACAATGTTATTGCCACCTGATTATCCAGCAATGATGTATTCCCTTCCTAAAAGTCTGTAACATGGGCATTTTATATGTTGAGTATTAATTACCCTATCGTAAAGTAAAGCATTTAAATTGTTAAAGTACTCATGTTTAGTACTTTCATAGTTTGTTGATTACCTGTTCCCTAATACTTGGCAACTGCTTTGTGCTGTATATGAATGTGTATATAAATATTTTAGTTTTGCCACAAAGTATGTTTGTATTATCATAAATTATGATTTATCAAAAATTATAAAAATTGCTTTCAGTAATAAAAAAGGAAAAGACAGTTATATCCATAATACAGTATAGAAAAGTTGGAGACATCCTATTTTTAAATTGTTTTTTAAGGTATTATCTTCTGATAATAAGAATGCATTGTATTTTTCTAAGACCTAAGTTGCAAGAATAATTTTCCATTACTAACTTCTAAATACGAACATTTATTTAGTGTTATTTTTATTTATGAATGACATACATACAAATTTAAACTTCATTGCCCAATACAGTCTTATTTTTCTAAGGAATAAACAAGTCTGATGTGTTTACAGTATGGTCTTTCATTTACCTAAAAAATTAGTCTCAAACCTTCTTAATATGTATTAAACAGTATGTGCATGTAACACAGACCTGCGGGAGAAAGAAATGTGCTGCTAGCTCAGCTCTGCTTCTGTGAGCTTTTCTACTGCATCCACCTCCTAACAGTTTTGCTTCATAACTTTGTGTGTATGTGTGTGTGTGTAATGCTTTCAAATATGTGTTATATAGAAGTTCCACTGAAACCTTTACTTTGACAAAGCGTTGTCTCACCCAGCTTTCCTAGGGTGGTATCTGAGTGCTCAGGTGATGATATAAGTGACAAAATTATATTGCATAAGTTTTATGCAAAGGCAGCTGTAGCCCATGTGTGAAGCATCCAGAGCAAGTGAGTGGGAACTGGAAGTTTCTGATGTGAGGACCATATGTACTGATTTCCCAGGATAGCCCTGGGACACATCCTTTAAAATAATGCTTGATCAGCTTTGGTCTATAAATTCACAAGTACATTTCTGTAAAGGAAATCAGCCCCAAATTTCTAATCATCATGCTGCTTGAATAGTTAGGAGGCAGTGTTTACTAGATTGTTGTAAGCTACACTTACTGTCGAGCATAATTCTGTTTTGAATTTGAAGGGTTCCTAAAATCTCCAGTCCTGGTGACTGCTTTTTGTTTTAAACTGGAGTCATTTCTGTGGATTTTTGGAGAAGCAGACTTCATTTAAGAACAGTTTTCATTGCGTTGAAAATAACTCTTTCTTAGAATTTTCACCTCTCTGTAATTCTACTGAATTACAGTGCTTGCAGGTGGTAAATCTGTTCTCAGAAGAGCACAGCTGGTTTGCAAGTCATGATAAAAACCTCTGATTGCAATTCCGAGAGCAGATTTCATTGCTGGACTGGCATTTGAGTTACAGAGTAGAAATGCAGCTAGAAAGCCCTCTCATTCTTTGTTTGGAGTTAGCAATGTAGTACTCTCCAGGAGCTTATCTAACTACTCAGCTACTTCCTCTTTCGTGGCATTGGCACAAACCGACTGAAGTTATTCTGACCCAGGCCATTCCCAGTGACCTTTATAAATGATGTTTGGGGTTTTGTATTTCTAAGGAGCCAAGTCAGCATTTTAAAAGGCCTTGATAGATATAATTCAGTCTGCTAGACACGACCTGAGGCCACTCTGGTCCCGGGTAATTATACCTCCTCTCAACATAGATCTACACCAGGCCTGACTTGAACTGTTCTCTAGAGAAATGAAGCAGAGTGCTGCTCCCCGGTTTGCCTTTACCTTAATGTGAGGCTACTTTTGCAAGATCCTAATCCCAAGCAGCTGTCTTCAAAATGCAATGTCATCCTTGCAGTTGATCAAAAACCTGCATTTAGCTACTCATACAGATGTGCTGTTGAAGAGGTGTATGATCTGTGCCCTTTTCAGCTAAGCTTGTGGCCTGATTAAGGGAGTATGATTAACATCTGTAAAAGTCAATGCAAAGTATCTTTAAGTAATGGAAATCAAAATAAGTAGCTAGAATAGTGGACATCCTTGTGTTTTAAATATCTCTAGTTGTTTTGGCGTTCTATGGGTGTGACTAAGAACTACTACATTTTTACTTCACTTTCAGCACTAAAATAATACGTCCCTGTTAGACAGCGCATTAAATTAGAGGGTTTTTTTTTTTTTTTTTTTTTTTTTTTTTTGCCAAAGTTGCCAAAGTACAAGTAAACTTCGAAGAAGTGGGGTGAGGGAAGATGTCATAGATTTAAAGTTAGACAACTTGACAACTCACTGGGGTGACCAGTGCAAATCCTCATCAACTACTGGAAGAAATAAGGACAGATTTTTTTATGGCAAATTTGGTGGTATTGTATCGCCCTATAACGGAAAACAACATGAGTATAAGAGGTAATTACAACTGTTGAATGTGTTGTCAAACTAAGGGGCAGTAATTATTGCATAAGCCAAATCAAGATGGAAATGGAACAGTGAGAAATGAAGAACACGGAGGCTTTGTTCAAAGATCATCAGAGAGTTCTTCCTGAGCTGAAATGACTCCAGGAGCCTAAAATAGAGACAGGATTAAGCAATAAGATATGACAGGGATAACATTTCTTGTTGATTGTAGGATGCCTTGAGGGCTACATCACTAAGCCAAAGGTTCACGTAAGGGGTGAAAGTAACCTTCCAGGTCTAGTGCAGTGCTATTACAGGGAGAAGGAAATGAGTAATAGGAGTTAGAAAATTCTGTCATTGCATGAATTATTACTTCAGACATTGGGTAATAATGCCATGTGTACAATACTTGTGGCCATTCCTTCCATCTACTTGCTGAAGCTCCACCAGAGGCTTCCCTTAAAAACTCTACAGAAATTGGCAATCTGTTGAGAACCTACAGGAAGGCCCTGGATCAAGAGGCCAGTTAAACACCATGTGCTGGGGACAGGTCTTTAACCAAGATAAAAAAGGGGGGGGGGGGGAGACTCAGTAACTATATGGTAGGGTAAGAAATATCCAAATGAAAGGAGCTCTGGCCAGGCGGTTAGTGGCACATGCCTTTAATCCCAGCATTTGGGAGGCAGAGACAGGCTGATCTCTGTGAGTTTGAGACCAGCCTGGTCTACAGAGTGAGTTCCACGACAGGCTCCAAAGCTACAGAGAAAACTTGTCTCGAAGAACCAAAAAGTAAAACAAATAGGCTCAAAGAGAGACAGTGGCTTGGAACAAGGCTCTCCTGTACTGGACATGATGTTAACTTTTGTTCTTCCTGTAATACGAGGTTGGCAGTGATATTCTAGAAAGGACACTACAAACATGTGTTCCTCCTGGAACAGAATTTGGTTGGGTAGATAATAAAAAAGAGAAAACCTCTCCTTGTGCTTATGAGTGGAGGACAGGCAAGAAATGTTGACTCTGCGTCAGCTTTTGGGGTCTAGAGCATGTCAAAGCACCAATTTCTGAGACCCTAATCTTGAAGAAACTATTACATTAGCAGGTCACTTGACCATGAGTATGTGGAGAAGCACTCAATACAGATAGATTTGCAGGTTCGACAAGCTCAAATTGCTATTCAAAGTGAATTTAATTATTTTCCAGATTTTACAGTGTTCAATATTTGCTAGGGTCTGAGTCCTAAGGCAGCTTGCTTGTTTTGAACCAGAGTCCTGCTGGCTATCCCAAGCATTCCTTCAATCTAGGATTCTCCTGATGTTGCTTCTCTCAGTTCTGAACATGTGTCATAGTTCCCAGCTCCAGCCTGGTTATTACCTGTCCATGCTAGTATATGGGACCATTGGCCCCTAATACCTAATCCTTAGGAATATTAGCATACCTGCCAAACTGGGATTGCCCAGCTCTGCTTTCTTTTAGCCACCTGTATATCTAGGGGCCATTGAGAATTTTAGGTCCACTCTCTCATCTCTCTGGGACCCTGAGAATTCTCTATGGTCACCTCAACCCCTTCAGTCTGTATATACCAGACAGTTTCTCTGCCTAATACCAGGCATAAGGATTGCCACTTTCTGGATTCCAACTAAGAAATAAAGCACTGACTGAGTAAGTAGTTAAAAACCCCACACTCCCTCCAAAGCTTAGCCAGAGGAAGGAGTAACAGAGCCACGGAGCTCTCTGGGGACTGCATGGCTTCTAACCCTCAGGCTTTGCCTTAAAATTGCCTCTTGTATTCCAGCCAGGGGAATTTTTATCTTACGTGGGCAGGAAAAAGAAAAATTGGCTCAAATAGTCCTCCAAATCTTTTTTGTCTAAAGCCTGAAGCTGAGCTTTTCAAACTCCAAAGCCAAGAATTTGTCTCTTTTGTTCTCTGACTCTGCTGTGACAACTCTCCCTTGAGGCATGCAATGACTCCTGGTCTAACTACCCAGATGGGGGGAGGGTAAAGGGTAACAGGAAATCATGGGGGAAAACACAGTGGTTAATGCATTGAGATTTCTATTCTCTTTCCCCTTCCCTGCTAAAGACAAACCCGCCCTCCTTGCTTATGTAACTTATGCATTAGATAGGTTTCTTTGGAAGTAACCATTAGGAATCAGCTTAGTTCTATTTGCCTCTTCTCTAGGGGAAATGAAATGTAGCCACTAGAGAAGGAATGGAAAAGACTGGAGTCCCAGACAGATTTTTGCATAGGGAAAGCTCTGAAAATAGGAAATGTCTTCAAAGCTGTGCTTTCTACATCTCCATTCTTCTCCAAATGTTGACCATGAATCCCTGCTTACTGCCTTCCACTTTTCCATGGGAAGAGCCTAAATTATGATACCCCTGGACTTGGCTGACATTAAAATCTCTGGCTCTGGTGTCTGCATTTCAGTGGGGGGAGGGGCTTCTGAATGGGTCAGTGTGGCCGATGGACATCAGCTGAACCTCAAAAAGATGACATCCCATTTTCCAAAGTGTCTGCAAAATATCTACTGTTAACAGCTGAAAAGACAACACTTGGGAAAGTGAAGACTAAGTAGGCAAACTCTTGACTGTCTACTTCACCGTTTCCTGAGTGGAAGTGATTCCAGCTTACTAAACAAGCGTGGCAGCTGATGCACGCCTACCTCAAAGTATCTCTGCTCCTTGTCTTATAGCTATTTATGGACATGTCTGGTCTAATGGACTGTCAGCAAGTTGTGTGCACAAATTTAGCTCCTCTTCCTCACATAGGCAAACAGCCCTGAAGAATTGAAAATTTTAAAATGCATTATTAGATGAATCAATGGATGAGGAACGAAGGTAAGAATTCATTGAATTAGTAAATTCAAGCAATCAATGGACTCAATAGAAGGAGAGAGATACCTAGCATTTTAGTTACTTTCTACATTTGGGGGCAAAATGCCTAGTGAAAGCAATTTAAGGAAGGTTTGTTCTGGCTCACAGTTTGAGGGTACAATGCTGTGCATCATGTTTGGGAAATTATGGTTGAAGGAACTTAAGGCAGCTAGCAGGCCATTGCCTCCAGAGTCAGGAAGCAGAAAGCAAGGGGTAGAATACCAGTGTTCAGCTCACTATTTCCTTTTGATT